CTTCTAATTTTGGGAAAACCCCACATCAGGTCTGCGAAGCTTGCAGACAGCTGTCGGGAGCTCGTTTGCAGTTTTTGTTCTGCCTTACAGGACGAGACCCACGAATCTTGAATACATCAGCAGAAAATTTCCAGGTACCCAAGACCCAAAACCCTGAATCCTAAACCCTAAGCTGTGAACCCTAAACTAGTTTTGACAACCTCCCCATGTGTATTGAGTGTAATGGAGCTGCTACCTGAGCTCTGCTGAGGTGGTCAGCCTCAAGGCGCGAGACTTAGTATGTAAGGTATACAAAGCCAAATAGGGTTTAGGGTTTAGGGTTTAGGATTTAGGGTTTAGGGTTCAGCGTTTAGGGTTTAGGGTTTGGCCCCCACCCAGTAGTTGTGCTAGAATAAGATAATTTCAGGAACCCAGTTTAATCACTAGTCACCATTAGTTGAGGGGGCCCAACCTAAGTAGTATCTGATCTCAACAAGTACTTGCCTCTGGTTAGCAACAAATGAAGGAATGGAGCCTCATAGTAGTCCGAAAAATACAGTGGTTTCCATTTCCTTTTCCTTTCCATCAGTCCTGCTAACCAGAGGTAAGTAGTACATCCCTATTAAACCCAACTTTCCATTTCATCTTCCATTCTCTTTTCCATTTGATTCTCCATTAGGGAGATGTTATATGCCTCTAAATAGCTTTATAGAGCCTCTATGAATCCTCATAAATCCCGAGACAATCCCTCTTTGCATACGGGATCAGTGTATGGCAGCCTTGAGTGCATTAGCCCATGCTCAGGTCAGCGCAAAGAGCGCTTACGGGACCAGCACGGTGACTAACGGAGATGCCGGGTGCACAAGGGCTGCCTCTTTAGACGCAGGTAGATTCCCTGTACCCAGACCCCCTAAAGTATCCAAAAAATGGACCCCCCCCCATATGTACCCATTACTACATTGGGGAACCTAGGGGATTATTAGGGGGTTCCATTTTTTGGATCCTTTAGGGGGTCTGGGTATCAGTGTTTGGCAGAAGTTTAGGGTCTATTGAGGGGTCGCCAGGTAGGACCGACCCCTCAAAAACCGGAGGTCCCCTAGGAATCTTCCCTAGAGACAGGCTGTAAGCTCACAGGTTTGGAAAGCTACAGTACGGCAGATTCTCGTGAGGAATTGCTTATTCCAGTCAAGCTGATAAGAGCAGGCTTGCTTACTTGGAGGTTGACTTAGTAAGTATATCTATAACCCCTATAAGCTACATAATAACCCCAGTTCTCCCCATAGTTAACGGACAAATCAAATCCCCTCCGACCCTAATTCTATTCCCTGTAATAATTATATATATATATATGATGTCGTTTCCATTTCCTTTCCAGTGTCAATCTACTTATAGTTGTAGGAGGTCAGAATTTGGAGACTTGCTCCTCAGGTGGTTCGGCAGTCAAAGGAGTCTGCACTGCCGAAGGTCCATGCCTGTCAGTCTTTTAAGATGGTTGGTAGCTTCCCAAAGAGTCGCGGGACCCAATTTAGACCCCCAACTACTACAATCCACCCCCAGAAAGGTACCACTGAATTTGGGGAACCCCAGAACCAAAACCCCTATATGAAACCTACATGAGCCCTAAACCCTAAACCCTATATGACCCCTATAGAACCCCTACATCGCCCTTAGAAGTGGACCCCGAATTTTGGTACCCTAAACCCTAAACCACGTGCCCCCAAAAGGTACTTCAAATTTGGGGATAAATCCCGGATGTTTGGGGTTTTTAGGGGTTCAGGTTTCAAGGTT